TGGGCAGAGGGCGGGACAAAAAGTGACACGTTTCCATGGGGAAGCGGCGGCGTGTGGCCGCGCGAGCCGCGGAGGCGTGGCCTAAAGGGGAGAAGGGAGCGGGTCCGGGAGAAGCCCTTAAAGGGGCGGCGACCTCGCTACCTCGGAGGAGTCTGCGGAGTTGCAGGTGAGGCTGCGGGCAGGCGGGCGGGCGGGCTGCACGTGTGAATGACTGAATGAATGGCGCCCCCGGGAGAAACGGACTGCGATGGGCGGGGACAGTGAGGTTTCGGCAGGAATCCTGCCGCCCGGCTAAGAAGGGAGACCGTGGCGGGGAGGCGATGCTGGTCTCCGCCTTGGCTGGCAAAGGTAGGTCGGAAAACGGGCCAGGAAGCTGCCCAGCTGCCCTTCCAGACGGCTCTTCAACTCCTGGGAAGACCTGCCTGGCTCTTTTCAGGGAAGCCAGGAGCTCCCTTCTCACTGCCCTGCCTTGGCCAGGAGGCAGGTATTTCAGCCGGAAGGGAAGGGAAGGGAAGGGCTGGTGATGGAGCCTGCTTTCTTTGGCTTTTGGGAAACTCTCTGCATCCTGTATGTATCCCAAGAACAGTGTTTCTCCACCTTGGCGGCTTGAACAGGGGTGGACTCCAACTCCCAGAATTCCCCAGCGTACCTTAGCATAGCATGCTTATGCTAGGGAATTCTGGGAGTTGAAGTTCACTCATGTTCAAGCGGCCAAGGTGGAGAAACATTGCCCCTAGACCAGGGGTAGGCAACCTTAGCTCTTTTATGACTCGTGGACTTCCAACTCCCAGAATTCCTGCTGGCTCAGGAATTTTGGGAGTTGAAGTCCACGAGTTATAAAAGAGCCAAGGTTGCTTACCCCTGACCTAGAAGGATCGTCAGAAGAAGAAAATGCAGCATCTCTTGTAGGCAGGCAGAAAACACTGCCGGCTAGGTGAAGTTTGAGGATGTGCAATTTGCCTATTCAAACTTGTAAAAAGAATAGTTTGTTTTTAAAATCCCCGTCCAGTCAGTCCCAGTCCTCCCTCAGGTACTAATCCTGGTTAGATTTTCTGAGAGAAGCCAAGATCAGCTAAGTGTGAGGGTCACACTTCCCTATTTTTTATTTTTAGGGAAGGTTTCTTCCCAGTTGAAAGAGGGCTCTCCTTTCCTGCTTCATTCTGGGGCGGGGGGGGGGGNGGGGGGGGGGGGGAATTGAGCTGAGTTTATTGCTGCAAAGATATGGATTACAATAACAGCTCCACTCCTTTCACACAACTTGGGAGTGTCCAAGCAGACATCCAGGCAGGGCAGCGCTTAGGGTACAAAGCTGCTTCTGTCATTTTAGCTCTCCAAAGGATGACTGAGAATCTATCTCCATAGACAGGGTATCCAGTATTGGAGGAAGAGGACAGATAGTGATCCCAACAGTGATCAGTTTTTCTTTTGGAAGGACTGAACGGAAGCTGTTCTTTTACATAGGGAAAATGTAAAAAAGCTGATTGTCTTTTGAGAGATGCCTTGTATAGCTCCCATTGACCATTTGACCATTTCAGTATGGGGAGAGCCGAACAGGTTGAATTAGCAGAGTAGCACCTTTAGTTTGCATATCGTGGCACTCTGCTCTTGTTTGAAGGGATGTAATAGGATAGGATCCATTATGATTTACTTTTCTTAATAGAGATCTTACATTCCTGAAGAGCACCGCACAGCAAAAAGAACAATACAGCAATCTTTTGATTGGCAGAAGGCTGTCAAAAAAATGCAGTTGTATAACTCTGCAATAAAAGCAATCTACTGAAACAACTCGCTATAAAGCATAAAAAGAAAACAATGGGAAAGAGCAAGATTTAACTCTGTGCAATTAATTTGAAAAGCAGTGTGGCCCTGCCAGTTGTTTTGAGTGAAATCAGCTTTTCATTACTTGTCATTTAAAAGTAGAGGGGAGGGGATAACACAGCTGTATACAGTTGGCAGAAAGTTCCATATCCAGCTGCCCAAATTTCAGTTGCAGATAAGTATATCTTCCCCCCCCCCCCCAGTAAATATTGTATTCCCAACAAACTTCACATATTGTACATTGCTTTTGGTTGATGTGATTATGGCTACTATCTAAAAATAGACCAAAATTTATAAGGCTCACCAATGTGTTAAATCAGGAATGGGCAGTCTGCAGCACACAGGGAGATCACATCATTCCACCGTCCCCTTACTAAAATGAAAGACTAATGTTTAGTACAATTTATTTTAAATATCAGAGTGGGAGGCTCTGGAGGAAAATCGCTCCAGTTCCACTATTAATCTTCTCCCTAAACTTCTCCCCCCCCCCCAACGATGCAGCCAGAAACCAACTATTTTCTCAACACATTTATTTGAGAGTGTGGAGAAGCTGCTCTTCCCACCCTTAAAAACCTGAAAGATGGGGGGGGGGGACAGGCCTTCTTGGTTAGTAATTTCACCTGCAAATCTCCAGCCACTTTTGGGAGAAAGTTATAGCTTAGTTGTGGGGAAGTTAATCTTGTGTTAACCAAGTGAATCCTATGATGGTCTGAGCCACGGTTTGCACCCCTGTAAATAGCTATACTACCAACTTATAAGAGTGTGCAAAACATCCCGTCTCAAACTCTTGCATGTGAAATGTGGAAAGTCCTGTTTTCAACAAGAAGCTGTTTTTTTATGCCTGAAACTATTTCAGCTATGAAATGGTCTGCTTATTTATGTGGATTGGCTGGTTGATTCCGGGATAAAGAGGGAAACATTTCTTGCATACAATTGTTTAAAAAGAGCCACAGCAAAATGACAATCATACTTGATGTGCATAAAACTAAACATCGTAAGGAAAGAGGGCTTGGCAAGTGGGAGAAAATTCTTGATCCTCCAGACCAATTCCTGGTTGCAAATCCCTTGCAGTTGAGTTCATGCATCTTCCTAAGCAGAAGTGCCAGGATTGCTTTGGCTCTAAAGTCCCTTATGGGTTTCCCAGGATTGTTACATTATAGTGTGGTAAACTGGAGAAACGTTTTTAAACTGATGGAATAAGTAATATGCCCTCTATTTAACTTTACTATCAATGAAGTGCAATCAAATTTTATTTTGGACCTATCTTACTACTTTTTGAAGAACAGTTCTCAGCAGTGTTCAAACGGATGCTATAAATTTGTTCCCAAAAAAACCTGTATTCTTGTACTGGATGATAGTTATTTTAACTATGGTTTGTGAACAAGCACTGGCAGCTAGATTCACTATAATGCTTGCTTTAAATCTTGCTTTAAAAATAGACTAACTTGGTTCATCCGATACACTGGACTTGTTGTTAGTTGCGAAGTCGTGTCCGACCCATCGCGACCCCATGGACCCCAACGTTCCTCCAGGCCTTCCTGTCCTCTACCATCTTCTGGAGTCCATTTAAGCTCACGCCTACTGCTTCAGGGACTCCGTCCAGCCACCTCATTCTCTTTCATCCCCTTCTTCTATTGCCCTCAATCTTTCCCAGCATTAGGCCCTTCTCCAGTGAGTCCTTCCTTCTCATTAGATGGCCAAAGTACTTGAGTTTCAACTTCAGGATCTGGTCTTCTAAAGAGCAGGCGGGGTTGATCTCCTCTAGGACTGACCGGTTGGATCGCCTTGCAGTCCAGGAGACTCGCAGGAGTCTTCTCCAGCATCATAATTCAAAGGCCTCCATTCTTTGGCGCTCAGCCTTTCTTAGGGTCCAATTTTCACAGCCATATATTGCAACTGGGAAAACCATGGCCTAGACTATACGCACTTTGGTTGGCAGGGTGATGTCTCTGCTTTTTAGTATGCTGTCTCGATTTGCCATAGCTTTCCTCCTACAGGCGAGCAAATGTCCTTGTATGTGAATGAATATTTTTTTTTGCGCCAGGCTCCGGTTGGGCAAGTCTCAGCTTTGATGGATAAAACAAAGAAGTAACGTCATTCTGCCCCTTGGCTAAGGTTACCCTGTGTTCTGATTCCAGCAAACGGCCCAGGTGTGAACAAGGTATTGCCAACTTGGCAGTGCAATTGCATGTCTGATTGTGGATTGTTCTGCCCACGTGGATCCGGCTATGGAAAGCACGACCCAGCTCAGGTCTCTTCTCCCAGTGGTGGATATTTTGTCATCCCATTGCACCACTCATACCAAGTGTTCCGTTTCCTGGTTTTCAATACCTCTGAGTAAATAGTGAGTAATCACTACATCCTGAACCAGGTTGGCTTTTAGCCAAGTAAAAGATTGGCGAAAGGGAGGAAGAAAGTGAACTGAACTGCTGCAGATCCTTTTTTTTACCTCTTCTATACCTTACTGGCAGCATGGGAACCAAATAGCCAGGATTTTACATAGTTCTAATCGAATACATTTCATAAATAAATATCTGATAAGCATCACTAAACACTGAACATTAGACTCCCCCCCCACCCCCGCTAGCAAAAAGAGGTTTGGAGTACAGGCAAAGCTCCACTTGCTAAATATCTGCTAGGGAGACCAGTGTGGAAGGACGCAGAAACCAAACCAGGGAATTAAAATATTTTAAAAATGACAAGAAGGACAGAGCTGTTTGCAGAAGGATTAGATCTCTCTGGTTTCTCCTGGAAGACAAGATTTAATTGCCCTTCAGCAGAGGCAGCAGATCTAAAGCAAGTAAAATTTGAGTGACGGCGTGATTTTGGCCCAGCCTGAGTGTTGATGGGTGGAGGAGCAAGCAAGAGCCAGACAGATGGTTTTTTCCTCAGGAGAATAAAAAAGAAGGAAAACATTGCAACTGCTCATAGTGCTCTGAGCTTCCGTTTTGGCCAAGGTGGCAGTTCTCAACCTTGGCCATTCTAAAATGCCTGGAATTCAAGTGCTGCATGTTAGCTGGGGAATTCTGGGAGTTGAAGTCCACATGTCTTAAAGTAACCAAAGCTGAGAAATGCTGTACCACAGGAAGGGAATGGTATCCCGCCCTCCACCTCTTTCATCCTGCAGCAGTGGTGGGACTGAAATACCTGAACAACCAGCTCTCTTGTTGGATGCAGGCCTGGGCCTCCGAGGCCTAGAATGGACTTCCGGAAGTGGCATCCATGAACTTTCGGTGGGCCATTCTAGGCCTGGGAGGCCTCCTCCAGGCCTCTGAGGCCTAAAATGGACTTCCGGAAGTGGCATCCATGAACTTCCGGTGAGCCGTTCTAGGCCTGGAAGGCCTCCTCCAGGCCTCTGAGGCCTAGAATGGACTTCTGGAAGTGGCATCCATGAACTTTCGGTGGGCCATTCTAGGCCTGGGAGGCCTCCTCCAGGCCTCCGAGGCCTAGACTGGGCTTCTAGAAGCATTGTGTATTCAGCAGGTTCTCCAAACTCAACAAACTTTAGTTACTGGTTCTGCCGAACCGGTGCGAACCGTCTGAATCCCACCACTGTCCTGCAGTCGACCTGATTGAGCAGTTAAAAGTCAGCAAAACGGGCACTGGAGGGATGAGGCCTCAATCTGGTTGTACACGCAGAGAGACAGTTGTGCTTGGTGCCATTTTTTTGTACTGGAAGTTGTGCCAACCTTTCCGAGAAAGGATTGGCTTGTGCTGGAGGAAGAAAGGAGCTATGACACAGCATTGGGTGAAGATCATTCCTTCTCCTTGCAAGAGGAAAAAGTTGAGTCCTGGACAACGGCTTTTGGAGTTGAAGGAGCAAAGGTTAAGAGGGCGAGAAATTAACGAGAAATCAGGAGTTAAGAGAGGAGGAGTGGGAAAGCTAAGGAAGATCTTGAAAGCAAGAGTGAGGAATTGAGGCTGGATCCCAGAAACCCGTATATTTTACAGACAGGCAAACTAAGGTGCTAGGACAGTGGTGGTGAACCTATGGCATGGGTGCCAGAGGCGGCACTCAGAGCCCTCTCTATGGGCACATGCACCGTCGCCCCAGTCCTAGGCCTTCAGCTGGGTTTTATAAAACCTTTTCGCTTTAGGCCTCCGCCGCTGTGTGCAAAAAAAAAAAGGTTCAATCAATCAATCAATTTCAACTTCTCGCGGAAAAAAAAAGATCTTGCAAAGTTGGAATTGATTGATTGAACTTTTTAGTCCCACCCAGTCTGCCGTTACCACCGCAGCCACGCCCACCCAATTGTCAATGCCTACCCAATGGGCCACACCCAACCAATGGGCCACACCCACCCGGCACCCGACGATGCATAAGTGGGTTTTGGGTTGCAGTTTGGGCACTCTGTCTCTAAAAGGTTCGCCATCACTGTGCTAGGAAAAGCGAACCAGCCACATCTGGATGCTCAGATATATAGTTGAAGTTAAATCTGAGCCTGAACACAGGATCGAGCCTAAAACTTTGACCGGCGTGCAAACTGTGGGTGGAGTATTTCAGGATGAATGCTTTTCCTTGTGGCTGTGTGCACACAGACTCTCTTTTCATGGGCCTTTGGGGGGGGGCAATTCTGTCCAGGTGGCCCCCTCCCTCTTCTCAGCAGCTCTTCTGACTTCAGTCCTCCTCTTCCCAGCAAAGCCTCAACCTTGTGATTTTTCAGACTGAAGTGCATCTGTTCTAAAAAAATATTATTTTGCGGGACTGGAAAATAAATAGTAATAGACTTCTGGAACAGAAAGACAGAAGCTTTTCTGTGCAAAGAGAGTGGCTCTGTCCATGACCGCGCATGGAAGGGAGAAGAAACAGGCAAAGACATGGTTTTAGGGCAGTGGTGGCGAACCTATGGCACGGGTGCCAGAGGCGGCACTCAGAGGCCTCTCTGTTGGCATGTGCACCGTCGCCCCAGTCCTAGGCCTTCAGCTGGGTTTTATAAAACCTTTTCGCTTTAGGCCTCCACCGCCGTGTGCAAAAAAAAAAAAAAAAGGTTCAATCAGTCAATTTCAACTTCTCACGGGAAAAAAAAAGATCTTGCAAAGTTGGAATTGATTGATTGAACTTTTTAGTCCCACCCAATCTGCCATTACCACCACAGCCACACCCACCCAACTGGCCACACCCAGCCAATGGGCCACACCCACCCGGCACTCGACGATGCATAAGTAGGTTTTGGGTTACAGTTTGGGCACTCGGTCTCTAAAAGGTTCGCCATCACTGTTTTAGGGGAAAGAACTACAACAGTCCTGGGTTAAATGTTATTTTGACAAAGGGGTTTAAGAAGCTTCGTCTTTCTCCTGCCCCCCCTGTGATATTTAGCTAAATTGGACTTGGAGTTCTCAATCTAAATTCTGGAAAGTATTATTTTTTCTACCCCATAGCATTTAAATGATCTGGTGTCTGGCTCACGGGCGGTGGCAATTTCCTTCCCTGGCAATAAGGACACCAAGTGAAAAAAAAAACGGGCCAGAGATAGGTGGGAGGAAGAGTTCTCTAAATATTTCAGTTCCGTCTCCTTTTTTCTTATTTATCACAATCTCTTAACAAAACGTAACTTGGTTACTGAACCCATTTCCTGGGTCTGTAATCAAATGGGCTGGGTCCACAGAGGGTACTAAATTCAAAAAAAGACTTAGCAAGATTAATAAGCATGTTGTACAAATGTAGCCAGTAGGGCTGTAACTGGTTGCGTGGGATTGTGCAAATGCAAACACTACCAGTTTGTTATAGATGAGGTCTATAAAAGATGGTTAACATCTGACAAGCAGGACTTTTGTGGAAACTGACATTAATTAAACAACGATGGGGAATTCCATTTATGCTCAGGGGTTTGCTTACTTTTTGCATGGAACGTGGCACATCTGGGGAAATGAAATACCCATTAATGTCAGATAGATGACAAAGAGGGAAGGATTCTATTATAGAAAGCTTATTCTTGGACAGGTTATATTTACTTGCGTAAACCACATTTTTCTTTTCCAGTCAAGGTCAATATTGATTCTGCAAATTGAGGGTAAAAATGACTATAAGATACAGAGGCATGGAAAAGGAGGGTATTATATAAAGGGGGTTCCTTAGGCTGTTAAAAGCTTTCAGGAATATCAGTTCATCAGACTGATGCAAAATGCTTCAAATTTGATTTGGTAATTTCATAACAGCTTTGCACGGTGAAAGAATATATCAGTGGTGGCGAACCTATGGCACGTGTGCCAGAGGCGGCACGCGGAGCCCTCTCTGTGGGCACACGCCATCACCCCAGCACACGTGGTCTCTAAAGGTTCACCATCACTGGCCTAAGGCCAGCCAGCCTGGACCCGCCATTGGGGAGCCCACCATCCCACCCGCCAGAGACCCCCTGGATCTCCCCCAACCCTGCCCGGCTCCCACAGGTGTCCCTCCCCATAAGCAACATCAAGGTGGCCATGCCCACCCAATCTGCCATGACTACTGCAGCCACACCCATCCAGTGGCCACGCCTACCCAGTCTGCCAAGCCCACTGTAGCTGCGCCCGCCGAGTGGGCCACACCCACCCGGCGATACGTAAGTGGGTTTTGGGTTGCAGTTTGGGCACTCAGTCTCTAAAAGGTTTGCCATCACTGGAATATATATTTGACAAGAGGCCATTCAGAGCTTACTACACGTGTAATTCTCATTTCTGCAGAGCAATGGCCTTTGGTATCCCTGCTACTCAGGCTGCCCCATCCTTTTGCTTCCATGTAAATACTCCTTGCTCACCACTTAGCTTCTGAACTGTCTCCAGGCATCACCTCCATTTTTCCAGACTGCCTTGGTCCAGATTTTTACCTGTCCGTTTTTTCCCTTTGGCATAAGCAAGGATGAATTCTAGCCTAGGACCAACATTTGTGAATTCTGACAGAATGCTTCACACCTTTTAGTTTTGAGTGACTTCCCTCAGGAAGGTTTCTATTAGCACTGAATCTGACCAAGAAAATCTAGGCTGGAAACAAGGCATTGCCACTTCTACCCATTTTGGTGCCCTCTGGACTTCTTGAAGCCGCAATCCCCAGAATTCCAATCTAGAGATTTGGAATGTTCAGTCCCAAAACATCTGGAGTGTTCCAGGTTGGCCTAAATCAGACCTGGGCATTTTATGGGCCCTGGGCCACATCCAGCCCTTTGGCTGTCCCTATCCAGCCTGCATGGATTGCTTTTATTTTGAAGGAGACTGTTTCCCCCCCAGTTTATATATGTGCATGCGTGCTTGCCTATGTACCTTCATAGCCCTATTGGTTTGGCCCTCCATAACAGTCCTAGTTTCTTACGTGGCCTCTTGGGAAAATTAATTTCCCATCCTGATCTCCATAATGCACTTATTACTCCCAGAAAGAGACCCGTTTTTCTCTTCCTCCAAGGATTTTTCTGTTTCTTTTCAGAAGACCATGTCGGAAAAGATCCTCGTGACGGGTGGAGCTGGCTATATAGGGAGCCACTGCGTTCTGGAGCTGGTTGAGGCTGGCTATACCCCGGTAGTTATCGATAACTTCCACAATGCCATACGAGGTAAGGACTGTATCCAGGAGCTGGTTGACAGTAAGGTTTGCATCCAAAGCTGTCGTTTTCCATTAAGCAGGACTCCTTAAATTGACAGTGAAGTACCTGGTTTACAGGCAGACTGTTCAAACAATTGTTTGCTTGGACCAGTGGCCGAATTCAGGCCTTGCTCTGAGCCATGTTTATCATCATGACATACTTTACAGGTAATATGTTATCATAATCCATGGTATACAAATCGCAATGAGTAATTGTATAGAACGCACTAAACCAGAATCAAATAAGCCCCAGTGTGTAAGTTGCATCAGCCTTGCAAATTATGGCTGGGTCTATCAACTAAGATAACTGTGACTTAGCTGGAGTGGGGAGCCAACAGTGTTGCCTTCACCACTGACTCCCATAGGAAAGGATTATTTCACTTTCGCCTCAGGGTGGCACTGAAACATTGGCTAAACCAGGGGTAGGCAGCCGTGGCTCTTTTATGACTCGTGGACTTCAACTCCCAGAATTCCTGAGCCAGCCATGCTGAGGGGAAAGGGAGAGGTTTCCAAGCTGAGCCATGCTGGCTCAGGAATTCTGGGAGTTGAAGTCCACGAGTCATGAAGGGGCCAAAGTTTCCCCCATGCTGGCTCAGGAATTCTGGGAGTTGAAGTCCACAAGTCATGAAGGGGCCAAAGTTCCCCCATGCTGGCTGAGGAATTCTGGGAGTTGAAGTCCACGAGTCATGAAGGGGCCAAAGTTTCCCTCATGCTGGCTCAGGAATTCTGGGAGTTGAAGTCCACCAGTCATAAAAGAGCCAAGGTTGCCTACCCCTCAATGTCCTTTATTGATCCCTTAAAATACTGACAGAAAGGCCAGATCCTAGTCATGCTCTCATTTCCTACTCGGATAGCCACTGGGATGGAGGTAGAGGGAGTATGTATGATGGAATGACTAACACGCCTGGAAACAGGGAGAAGAGTGAAAGATATTAACGGAAGATAGAGGGCCATTACAGAAAAGTCGAGTTCAGGGGAGGAAAGTGAATGCAAGGAGGAGACTCCCCCTTAATTATGCTAGCTATACGTTGAGCTGGATAATTGCTCTGGAGGCTTTCAAGATTCTCTCCCAATGACCTGTGAGCACTGAAGATCCTTCAGAAATACAGAGGACTGCTTCTTGAGTTTGCTTTCCTCAAAGGCCTTGACAGTACCAGAGCATTTCTGAGCAAATGGCAGAGAGAGAGATCATACCTGGCTGTTTACAAGAGGGGGAGATGTTTGGCTTATGAAGCAGGAATGGTGGAGATTAGAATGTTTTCAGTCAAAAGCTAGGCCATCCATAAGGTCCAAAGGAGCATCCAGACTAAGGGCATGGGATGGTAAGCTTTCTGACTGGCATGAGGCCGAGTCCACCCAGCATTGCATCAAAACACTAATTCTCTCTACAGGAGAAAATATGGTCCCGGAGAGTATTCAGCGGGTGATGGAGATTGTGGGAAAGGAGATCCCATTCCAGGAACTGGATGTTCTTGACGAGAAGGGCCTTCAGGAGCTCTTCAAAAAGGTGTGACGACATTGCTAATCTTGATGGTTTAACTTTCCTTTGTCATTGTACCAATTATGACAACTGACTCAACTTCTGCTCTGCAAATAGTTTTTGCCTGCTGAGCAGCACCACGATTTGTGCCTAGGTAAAAGGCTCATCTGCTTTTTCCTATATGGTCATCCATTTTGGTTCTTCCCCCCATCAATCTTGGGAGAGATTTTTGTACTGCCCAAGGACATCCTGCAAAGTTTCCATAGTTTGATGGTGCATCAATGTTCTTGTGGCTGCATTGACTTCCAGTGTGGCTGGTTGTGCTGAGAAACTGCAAGGAAAAACTATAAGTGACTCAGTCCATACTTGTTGGGGGGAAATCTCTGCTCTCAGGCCATGGATGTTAAAGCGTTGGCAAGTAATCAGCCTATAAAAGACTGTATAAGTGATTTTTGCATTGTCAGCTCAGTTAAAAGGCATCTGAATCGGCCTTTTTCCAAAAAACGGGCAAAGACCTCAGTGTTTTTGTGCTCTGTGGATAGCTGTCAGAGTGGAATGGGCAGTCTGCATAATGTTGGTGGCCCTGGAGTCCAGAATTGTGTTTCTGAAATTCAGCAGTAAAATGAACACCTCGCATTTGTTGAATGTTTTCTTCCTTCTTCAGAATTCCTTTTTTTCCTTTGTGGGACTTTTAAAGATGGGAATAGGAGCAGAAAAACCAATGAGACACAAATACGTCCAAACTCCTGGAAAAACAACAGCCTCAGAGAATATTATGGGGTTATTTTGGTGAGCCTTTAGAGATGGAATGTAGTCACCACGTAGGCCATGTATTGAATAGTCATTCTGATCCAGGCTTCATATTTTTGCCTTCCCGGTTTAGAATACCTTAAAATAATTCAACTGAAAAATAGGCTTCTTTGATTTAGAAGTTAAATATCCTTGACTTGATGAAAAAAAAAACACAATGAAAGTTAATTTTGTTCTCAGTAAACAACAGCGACGTTATTGTGGTCCTTCTTCCATTTCCAGCATCACTTTTCTGCAGTGATACATTTTGCGGGTCTTAAAGCCGTTGGAGAGTCTGTTCAGATGCCACTGGAATATTACAAGGTGAATCTGACAGGAAGCATCCGGTTGCTGGAGGTGAGTTTCCATTGTGCAAGGTTATAATGAAAGTTTAACTATAGAGAGTCAGTAGAAGATGGTTCTGGGGTAGAAACTCTCATCCAATCACCAGCAAATGGCTCTAAGAGCACAAATCAGGAGAATTTATACTAGGACAGGGGTAGGCAACCTCGGCTCTTTTATGACTCATGGACTTCAACTCCCAGTACTATGACCTGTGATTGGTCATTTGCACTGATGTGCAGATCAGAACTTCTAGGGCTCAAATGCTGACAGGTCCGAGTCACTTGGCCAGAAGTTGAAACCCTGCAACTGTTAATGTGTTAAACAGCAGAAGCCTGCAAAGGTTTAGCAGAGCCCTGCCAAATTCTCCGAATTTGTTGGACTTCAGCTTCTATAGCCCCCAACTAGTACGTGGCTGAAGAATGTGGGAGATTGGTTCCAAGAGATTTAGAAGCTGTCCAGTTGGGGTCAACTGATTATGACCTTTTAAGGCCATCTTGGATGCTAACACAAGACCCCATACCAAAAACCCACGGCATAGAGTATCCTCTCATTAAGCACTGGGATGGCCACTAGTCAGTTGCACCAGTCTTCATCCAGAGCCATGCTGGCTTGGATTAAAACAAGGGCAAGGAATATTATCCCCGTTGTCAAGATTTATCTGCTCCCTCTGACCTGATTCAGAATCTAGCTTTCTCCAGCATGACGATGGAGAATCCACCAATGGGTTTTGCTTGTCTTCTGCCCGTATAGACTAAATCAGCCAAATTGCCATGCCCTTCTCCCTGGAGCAGGACCCCAGTCTCGACTTAGTCTCTAGCCCAAGAGGACACATTCATCTTGGCTCCAGGATCAGATCACTAGACCAGGTTGTATTTTTAAATTTCTTACCTTTTTTCTAGTAAGGGGGAAGTGGAAAACGAACAGCTGTTCGTTTGCCGTCCCAGCCAATCGTGCTGGGGCTAGAGCAAGCCTTGCAGCTGCGCTGCGATCAGCTGGGACGGCAAATGAACAGCCGTTTGTTTTCCATTTCCCCCTTACTAGAAAAAAGGTAAGAAATTTAAAAATACGACCTGGTCTAGTGATCTGATCCTGGAGCCAAGATGAATGTGTCCTCTCGGGCTAGAGACTAAGTCGAGACTGGGGTCCTGCTCCAGGGAGAGGGGTGTGGCAATTTGGCTGACTTAGTCTATACGGGCAGCAGAAGACAAGCAAAACCCATTGGTGGATTCTCCACTCGTCATGCTGACAAAAGGCGTTCAGGTAAGACAATGCCCCTATCCTCCTTTTTTGCCTCTCAGACCATGAAAGCCCACGGAGTCAGGAACATAGTCTTCAGCAGTTCAGCCACAGTCTATGGAGACCCTGTTTACCTCCCTCTTGACGAGAAGCACCCAGTCGGCAGCTGCACCAACCCCTACGGCAAATCCAAGTATTTCATTGAGGAGATGATCCAAGATTTGTGCAAGGCGGAACCAGTAAGAGAGCAACACTGCACTTTGAGTCCCGTGTAGGCTGCTGTGTCCCACCGGATTTACTTGGTGTGTTCTTTTTTGTCCTAGGAGTGGAACGCTGTTCTCTTGCGATATTTTAACCCTATTGGAGCTCACAAGTCCGGAAAAATTGGAGAAGACCCCCAGGGCATCCCAAACAATCTGATGCCTTATGTTGCCCAGGTACACAGATCTTAAAAAGAGTTTGTGCTACTCTATCAGTTTACTTTTTCATTTTATTTCATTTTTTTCCATCTTCTGCCTGTTCCAGGTGGCTGTGGGGCGCAGAGAGCATCTGAAAGTCTTTGGGAATGATTATGACACAGTGGATGGGACAGGTGTGTGGGGCTCAGAATCATCCAAACTTTAAAATAAAGACACACACACCCCTTCAAAAAAAAAAAAGGCTGAGTGGAGAAGCTCAGTGAAAAAAGCAAGAGTCACAATTCGGAACGTTCCCTCAAGGAAGATGCGAATATATTGTCCACCATTCTTTTGAAACCAGGACTTTCTTGCTATCTTAAACCAGGGCTATGCACCTTTGGGAAGACATAATCATAATAGCCCAAAGCTCAGTATTCCGTTATCACCTTCTGAGACATTCCAGGATTTTATGCCAGAAGTCTCTTTCAGACTTGACAGCCTCATAAAATTTCAAGCGCTTTATAAATGTATTTGGAAGTGGGAGGTTGTGAGTACCATTGATGGCAACATTTTACTAACTTAAGTCCTAAAACTGTTTCCTGGTAGAATTACTTGACTGCTAAACTACTGGTTAAAGGGGCAATGAAGGTGTACATGGGCTAAATTAAAATGGAACTATATATGATCACCTCCTGGGTCTCAAATACTAATTTTCTTTGCTGGGAGCTGAGATTTATTAGAGAGCTCCTCCTGGCCTCAAGAAATAGGCAGTTCTGGTTGAGCAGGTTTCCTAAATGGCTTGGGAAAGAGCGACTATTAACGCAATCCCTGGCCTAATGTGCAAAATTTGTCATCTGTAATATGTATTGTGAATGTATTTGCCCAAGAGAATGCATGCCTAAAAATGAGGAAATACACGCGCATTAGCTGGGTGAGCAGAACATTGACCGATTGTTCTCTGATAGGCATTCGGGATTATATCCATGTAACTGATCTGGCAAAGGGCCATATTGCAGCCTTGCAGAAGCTCAAGGAGAACTGTGGATGCAAGGTAAGGATGTTCATTATACAAGTCTCCACCCTCTTGAGAAGGAAAATGCCCTGCTAAGGTCAAAGGGTGTCTTCATAATCCTTATTTTTTCTTATTTCATTTCTGAATGATCTTACTGTGCAGGAGACCAAACTCAATAGCTTTAAATCAGATGCACCCTCTGCATCCACCCGCTAGACCCATACTGAAAACAAGTTGGGGTATCCATCCCCTCCAATCTTCTCATATTTAAGCTCTCCTTTGCTTCCCACAGCAAAGGAGGAGCATAGAAGAATATAATGATGAGCAAAAAAATATATATGCATTTTTACAGATTTACAACCTTGGGACTGGTATTGGCTACTCGGTCTTGCAGATGGTCAAAGCCATGGAGAAGGCATCTGGGAGACAGGTAGGCTGAAGATGAGATGCAGGGGCCGGCAGCCAATATGCGGGTCTCCTACACCAAGACTTAAAAGTGCCTGGGACCTACACCTTGAGATCTTATTGTGAAGCTGTCCACTTTCTCAGACTCTTGGCGCTTTCAGCAGAAATCCACCATCTGCTCTGCTAGTTTTTATGATCAGCCTGGGACCTAACCAGTCTCTCACTTGGCATCTTAGCAACTTGTATCCAACTCATTCCCCAGAAATATAAAGACAGGCTGTTTGTTTGTTTTAGATAAACTACAAGATCGTTGAACGTCGAGAAGGGGACGTAGCCTCTTGTTATGCAAATCCTGGTTTAGCTGAGCGGGAGCTGGGTTGGAAAGCTATCTTTGGCCTGGACAAAATGTGTAAGTAGAAACTTTCTGCTTGCTGCTCATCTTTCAAGGAACATTTTGCTTCCCCCTCCTACTGGAGAACGAAATCAACCTCTATCCTTCCCAGTACATTTTGATACCTACCTAAAAGCAAGCTGCTGCTTCTTCTTCTTGTGCCATATCCGTTATCGGACGTTGGCGATCATGTTGGCAATCCTGTTTTTATTAGCAGCCTCACGAAAAAGTGCTGCTAAGTTTTGTCCAAACCAATCCCTTAGATTTTGAAGCCACGATGTTCTTCTTCTGCCTGGGACCTCATTTGCCTTCCATCTTTCCCTGGAGGATTAAATGGACTATGCCGTATTTTTCTGGGTGTCGCATCACATGTCCAAAATATTCTAATATTTTTTAATTGTTTTGATGATTTCCCTTGGCTTTCCCAGGCGGCTTATCACCTCCTCATGTCTGATCTTGCCGGACCCTTATTATTCCTCTCTCTACTCTCCTTCCTCTCCCTCTTGTTTTCAGGTGAGGACTTATGGCGGTGGCAGTCACAGAATCCCATCGGTTTCAGCAAGAACTAGGAGATGGAAGATGCTGCTTGTTCTACTCACGTACAACCACTGGCACACTGGTCCAGGGCTGACTAGTTTTGAAAAAGGAAGCTGGTCCATGCTTCTTTCCTTTTTGGAACCGACTCATCACACCAGATGAGGATGCCATTGCCCTCTTTAAGTTGCCTCTTCTCTTCTCCTCATCCTATCTCTCTGCCAGAAAGAAACTCAAGGAGTCTTTTTTACTGACTGAGGGGACGTGTTTTTTTACTGAATTAGGAGCAGCGGGACACCTAGCTGCATGTCACAGGAGGACAAAATCCAAACGTTTCTCTATAGCCTGGTTGGCTTTGGGGGGGGGGATTTAATCCACAACTCTTTGGTTTCAAGAGACGAGAGCTGTTTAGGGTTAAGAGAGCAAGATTTCAGAGACCTGGTTCTTTCATTTGAGTGGAAGAGCCAAGATACAGAAATGGTTAAAAAAAAAAAAAACTAAGCCTGACGGTGGTGAAGTTGGTTTTGTCATTATCTCCACTCCTTTTTCTAAAGTATAAAAACCGTACGCTCATTATTTTGAGCAAAATAATAGAAATGGAAGTATCTCTTTAAGCTGTAAATTTTAACATTGCTCAGACGACAGTCCAAAAGCTGTTGGGCTGGTTGGTCTTTAAAACAGACATCACAGATTCTTAGTGAACCTTTTAAGTTCTTCTGGATAGTGATACAGCTAAAGGCACTACATGCAGTGATATGTCTAATATCTTGAAAAGAGATGCTTTAAGATACTACATTGATAGTACATTGGGAAAAAAAACTGAAGAGCATAATGGTCTGCCAGCAAGGTAGCTAGACAGTATAGTCCTTGTCATGACGATCATGGAGCCTCTCATTGTAGTCATAATTCGTGACAGCCATAAAGCATCAATTTTACTACTTTTTTGTGGTTCGCCAATGGTTCACTATGGGCACGGTTTTGCTGAAAGCCATCAGGTCGTGTGACCTAGGGATGTTGCAGGTGGCCATAAATGTGGCCCGGTTGCCAAGCATCTGAAGAACAGTCACATGATTAGAAATTGAGGGGAGGGAATAGACCTGACCATCATAGCTTCAAATCCAGGTCGGAAGTGCCTTCCCCGCAGTAGGTCCGTCATAACTTCAAACTGTCACTAAGTGACCAGTCGTGAGCGGAGGACTACTTATAAAAGAAGATGCTCTGCATGATCAAGGGACTCAAATGATTAGATACTGTGACTGTTGGTGCAGAATTTAAACTGAATTCAGATTCTTCTGCCAACAGCATCAGCCAGGTCCTTATAACAAAGCTGGTGAAAAATCAAAGCTCTTGAAATACAATATATCTTGAGTTTAGCATTTCAGTTAAGGTTCAAAGGCCTATCAAACTAGACAAGGCAGTGGCAGCTATGAAAGTTTGACACAGCATCTCCAAAATAACTTTTAGCAGAGAGCAGAGAGGGAGAGACTGCTTGTAAGAGGTGGAGAGTGGTGGGCTACAAGACCATTCCAGTACTCGTTGCTGTGAAAGTATCTGCTCATGTTGCAAATATAAGACTTCAGACGGGTGTGCTCTTTAAAACAATTACAGTAGAATTGCTTTTGCCCACTTCCATTTTATGATGTAGGGACAATGTGCTTCTACTGCAAATCACTACCTCTTTCCTTGGCTGTATAAATGACTTCATTATGCAGGTTGAAGCTATTTACAGGTTTGTTTTGATACGTTGAAAATGATCTAAATCAGTCTCCCATCTTGTGTCCAATGGAAGCCACTATTTTAGGCTCTGAATCAATGCCCATCTCTTTACAAACAGCATTTAGTGCAGCCTAAGGAATCTTGCTCTGTCTGGTTACCATTTTTTGTTTAGCTTCTTATGCCAATTTGAGTTTGCAGTGTAAGGACAAATTTTATTTTAATTTTCATACCGCAAACAACTTGGTCAAAATCATGTTACGATAAATCATGATTATCCACTAAGGAAGTGACTAGATTTCCTTCACAGTTTTTCCCCACCCATTCTTGCATATCCAATGAAATTCCAGTCTTTGTGTTAACCCAAAAGAACAAATGACAAACATTTGTGGAATTTGCAAGGGCAAGATGGAACAACTCTATCTGCTTGGCCATAAATTATCTTTTTTTTTTTTTTTGCATTCCTGCGCCATTCCTCCATTAAAAGCTACTTTGATTTTTTATTATTAGCAAGTATGGACCTGTTCTTTCTTCTTTTTAACCTTTATGGTTATGTCTTCTGCCTTTCAGATTATTATGCACAATCTAGGACTTCTGCCCACTCCCTGGTCAGTAATTCACAAGTGACTTTTGAAATCACACTGGTTTTCCCCTAATGTTAGCCTTGTGAGAATAAGAACAACTTTCAAGAACAACTCTTGAAAGAAATTTAAATAGCTTTCAAGGCTCAGAACATTGACGTTATATGATTAATATTAATGTGCACATAAATTAAAAAAAAACCTTTCTGGATGCTTCAAGAGTAGGAATGGACAATCTTTTTGGAGCCATGAGAGTTTCACTTAAAAATAAAATTAAAAAACGGTTTCAAGAGCTTTAAGATGGTGATGTGATATTCTTGGAAAAGGGGGGGTTCTATTTTTTTTAAAAAAAAAACTAGTTGTGTTTTACTAAAGCAAGCACGTTATTTATTCAACAGCCTCCCCATCCCCACATCTGTTTTGCTGGAACAGCTCTTAGAATTGCTCTATCTCAGGCCAGAGAGGATGGATTTTGATGAACTGTGCACCAAGCCTATGTTCTGTCTCTGTTAGGAAGCACAACAGCAAGAATCCAAAATGCCATGAACAATTCCCCACCCCAAAGGCAGACTTATAGATTTGCATTAAAATGCTTTTAAGGGAATCTTTATCAAAAAAAATGTCTAGCCACTCAACCCATTACACTACAACTGACACAAGTTATGAAAAGAATAACATTGCCAAATATCAAAAAACATCTCAGAAACAACCAACAGACTATTACAATCATAACACACACAAATCAACCAAAAGCTCTCCAAAACCTCTTAACTAAACCAAAAGACCCATCAACAACTTGTCTGAGACAGAGAAGTATAAGATTAGCAGAGCACATTCATGAACGTCGACGAGTAATCAGATGACACAGTGAAATCTTAATCTCACAACACAAGGATAGATCATAGTTTCAACTAGGAAACGAGCATTCTAGATCAAGCCGAATCTAAAAATGCTAGAGAATTCCTAGAAGCTTAGCATTCAGATAAATCGGCCATCAATAGACACATGCAGATAAACCACATTTACACACCATTCAAACGAAACAATAAAAAGCTAAGAAGGAAACAAAAAGATCAGAACACATCCTCTCCAGCAGCCCATGCCCAGATAAACAGGGATCAACACCAGACAGACAATCAAGCAGAAAACTATACATTAATCAAGGAACAGCCAAGTAGAAAAACCAGACATCCACCAACTGGCAAGGCAAGCTATTGTATATCAAGAGGGAGTCGACCTCACACTCACTAGAACTGATGGAGTTACTTAGTCAGGTAATTAAACATCTGCAAGCAAACAACCATCAGGAACTCTACAGTTCAACCCTGAGCTATTCTACTAAGACAGTGGTTCCCAAACTTTTCTATACCCCGCACCCCTAGAATGCTTCTGATATATTCTCGCACCTCTTACAAAAGTTCAAAATAACGACAACGAATTACGTGTATATACTATAATTTTGAAAACCCAAGTTTTCGCACCCCTTGGAATATCACGCTCGCACCCCCAGGAGGTGTGAGCACCCCTGGTTGGGAACCCCTGTATTAAGACTTTTCAGATAGTGACTGAGTGGTAAAAGAAGCATTTCGGTAGAGATTTTAAGAGATCCTACAGTAAATAGGCTATGAAAAGTCTTGTAACAAAAAAGGTAGCAACAGGTTCATTTGCTGTAAGTTATTCATTAGCCTTCTTCAAAGGAAGCCAAAGCTGCGCTAAGGTTGCCTGCTCCTCCCCAAACTAAGCTTCCTGAAAATCTGAACCAGATATAAGAAACGCAGGGGAAAAGCTAACAGGCAATTTGATAGCAATACTCCAGAGGAATACCTAGGGGAGAAAAGTGACATCAAGAATAAATGCCTTGAGTATTATTGCTCTAATAAATTACTTACTTTTGAGGTGGTAATATGAATTGGTTGTCGATTGCAGTGGCACATAGATAAGTAACGAATTTGCAGTATTCATTGGCTGCACTCATGCAAGATGTTTGGTTGTGGGTTTAATAAAGTATAACGGCTGAAATTGGTTTATAAAGGGGGTCTGGCTGGATTCCCACAATGTCTTTTACTGTACACGACATTGAAAATTAGTGCGTTAGGTGATCAGGCTCAAATTATGCTTCTTTGAACACATGATTTGAAGACCCATCTCTCTGGAGAAAACTCTTGATATTGGGAAAGGTAGAAGCTAAAACATATAAGGAACAGTTGCTGGAATTGGGTATGTCTAGTTTAACGAAGAGAAGGACGAGGGGGGACATGATAGCAGTGTTCCAATATCTCAGGGGCTGCCCCAAAGAAGAGGGAGTCAAGCTATTCTCCAAAGCGCCTGAAGGCAGGACAAGAAGCAACGGATGGAAACTAAGCAAGGAGAGAAGCAACCTAGAACTTTCCTGACAGAAAAATTAACCAGTGGAACAACCTGCCTCTAGAAGCAGTGAATGCTCCAACACTGAACGTTTTTAAGAAGAAAATTGGACAGCCATTTGTCCGAAATGGTATAGGGTTTCCTGCCTGAGCAGGAGGTTGAACTAGATGACCTCCAAGATCCCTTCCAACTTTATCATCATCATCATCATCATCATCATCATTATTATTATTATTATTAGTCTTTCTGATCAATCTTTAGGCTTTAAAGTCCTGAAGGACCCCATTAAGGGCAGATCATCATGAAGAACATCTGTCTATGTGGTTGCTAAGAGATGATAGCAACTGGACGGCATGTAATCCATCAAAATCACTATTAAGTGATCTATAGCTCTCTTAAAAAATAAACGGGAGGGGAAGAAGAAATCAAAGCCTGTTCAAAACTATTTTAGAGCTGCCTGTGTCAGTGACAAACCTCAAGCTCTTGTGCTGATGGAAGGCCTGGCTTAGTTGCTATGCAAACAGACACATTCATGTGGTGAAACAACTCCGCTGACTGGTGGGTGGGATGGCCTTGAGTCTGCCTGGCAGGATTTGCAGAACCTGAAGAGATGCTCTCAAGAGGACTAGAAGGTCATTTCCCACAGGGGAAGAATGCTTCAGATAAAATGTAACCACAGTGAAATTTCTGATTTTCGCTTGACATTACGGGAGGGAAGAGAGGCTACTTCAGTGGTGGTGAACCTATGGCACGGGTGCCAGAGGCAGCACTCAGAGCCCTCTGTGGGCACGCGCGCCGCCGCCTCAGTCCTAGGCCTTCAGCTGGGTTTTATAAAACCTTTTCGCTTTAGGCCTCCGCCGCCGTGTGCAAAAAAAAAAAAAGGTTCAGTCAATTTCAACTTCTCACAGGAAAAAAAAGATCTTGCAAAGTTGGAATTGATTGATTGAACTTTTTAGTCCCACCCAGTCTGCCGTTACCACCGCAGCAACGCCCATCCAATGGGCCACACCCACCCGGCACTCGACGATGCATAAGTGGGTTTTGGGTTGCAGTTTGGGCACTCGGTCTCTAAAAGATTCGCCATCACTGGGCTAGTTGCTCAGAGGGAAAGCGCGTGCTTGTTTTCAGAATGCCCCAAATCTGAAACCACGGTCAAAGAACGATGCTCAGAGAAACCTTGGGAAACCCCTGGGAAGCACAATGGCAAACAGACCAAGCAAGAAAAATGAAACCAGCCCTCCCTGGAACTGCTCCTCCCTTCCAATCACCAAAAGTGCTATCTCATATGCAGATCATTCGTACCCTTTGTATAGAATTCCAGACCAAACCTTGGGTGTGCACACACAGCACAAAGGAGGATCGTCTCACCCAGAGTTGACTTCACTCAACGTACCAGGCCAGCATGGCAAGAGCTGCTGTAAACATACAGAGCAGGGGGTAGTCAACCTTGGCTCTTTTATGACTCGTGGACTTCAACTCCCAGAATTCCTGAGCCAGCACAGCTGGCTCAGGAATTCTGGGAGTTGAAGTCCACGAGTCATAAAAGAGCCAAGGTTGACTACCCCTGATATAGAGGAAGTAAACAGCCCTTTCTCTGCCTATGGAAATTCTCAATCATTCAGGTCATGGGGTGTTCTTTTTTTTTTTTCTGGAAAACATTTCGTTTCTCATCTAAGAAGCTTCTGAAAAAGTTCCTTGGGTGAGAAGCAAAATGTTTTCAAGAAGAAAAAAAACAACAACAAGAAAGTCCAGTTGCCTTTTGGAAAAAGCACCTTTAGGGGGTAGCTCTTCCTCTGGTTATCCAGCCCCTCACAGCAGCCAAGTACAGACCACCCCAGGTTTCAGATGTTCGCAAGCGCTGTCAAACACTTACAACCCTCCCTGCAGGAGAAAGCGACGACCCCGCCGCGAGGAGGTTTTAACAAAGCAAAAGGACGAGGCACCGATGTCGGTTTCTGTTTAATCTTGAAGGAAGGAACACAAAAATTAAAACGACATACGAGGGAGACAGAGGGAAAGGGAGAAGAGGTTGTTGAGATCCCCTTGCAGGAACAGAGAGAGAAGCATCTTCTTCCTTGGGGGGCTTCTGTGTTCATTCCCGTCCTTTCTATACCAGGCAGGCCACGTTGACAACAGCTTTGGGAAGGCCCAATGAGGAAGTTGGGCCAGCAGAACCCAGAGCAGGGATCTCTCCACTTGCTCTGCAAGGCATTACAACTCAGTGGCCTGAGAGGAGCTGAGCGGTGACAACAGGCAACCAGCCTGGCCACACGTGGCCCCTTGCGGGTTTATTTGGTGCAGAAGGTAAGCTGAAATGCAGTAGAACACGGAGGACGCGAGAATGGTGAAGTAGGCTGCGCTATTTCTTGCTGCAAATGCGTGCAGAACCTAATTTAGCAAAACAAGCTCCATTCTTAAAAAAAAAAAAATAAGCAGAAAGGGAAGGGGGGGGGAAGGTGAGCCAGGATTCCCTTTATGTGTTCTGTTTTACTTGCAAAGATTTTTTTATTTTTTTTTTTAATGGAAACATCGGGAATGATATCTGCACACACTTGTGGTCCATTAGGTTGCACAACTCATTTTACCCTCTCAGAATTTTACCCCTGCTTTCTGGTGGTGCTCAGTAGCAAGACCGAGCAGGAGTGTTTTTTCCTATCTATTAGCACTTCCACGTGCAGGTCAGACAGCTGCAGAAGCCATTTCCTTTGAAACAGGGGAAACACAAAGGAGCTGAAGAGGAATATTGTGTTTTCTTGGCAAGGACAGGAGGCTGGAGACATTCTCCTTTTCCACCACCACTTATTACCTGTGTGGACAGGAGCGGCACTTCCGCTCAAAAATAAAGGTTCAGATGGAGATGCCCCTGCAATCTAGAGATGAAGGTAGGTGAGCCATCCTTTGCTGGGGCAGGTGGGGCTTGCACAAAGAGGCCAGGCCTCTTCCTCTGCCCAAACCGTGTCTCCCTTTCACTGGATGATCCTACTTTGCCACACAACGGCCACGCACACGTCATCCCCACTCTTCTCAGCTTCTGAGAAGAGGAGCCACTTTTGCAAAAGGCCTTGGCCATGCTGGCTGGATTACCAAGCATGGGGCACGGGAGGGAGCTGCAGTTCACAAGGATCTCAATTTAGATGCCCCAAATGCAGTGGAACCTCAACGGCATGTTGGGTGAGCCTGTCTCTATCCCATCACAAAAGCCAGGAGAGGAAAGGAGATGTTTGTCCTAGTTCTGGGGCTTCTTATTGCCGTTGCCCAGTGTAAAGGACTGCATAGGATAGGGAGAAGGAAGGGTGCGAAGTCCACACACACAACAGGTGGCAGGGTGACACACAAGACAAGACTAGCCCTTCACCAAAACAAAAGGAAGAGGGGGGGGGGAAAGTTCCTTTTGAAGTTGCATCTTGTCCCTGGCTGCCAGTCCTATGATAAGCCCATAGCAATGACTCACAAGGGAGAGAAGGAAAAGAAACATCACTGCTGTTCAACAGCACACTGCTCGGAGGCACAAGCCTGATCTCAAGGAGAAAGCAAGAGACAACGGACTCAGGGAACCACACAGGAAGTGGGGAGGGGGGGGATGCAGCAGGAGCACAATTCTGGCGACATGGCACACACACACACCAAAACCCAGTTGGCACTTGCTTGGTGTGTGACTGGGCAGGAACACAAGTTGGCCTAGCAGGCTACAACAGCCATTGTCTGAGCACTGCCCAGACTAGTAAGTGGAACTGTCGGAGACCGTAGTCTAGGGAGGCCTACTGGCCGGAGCCATCTTGAGTCCACTCCCCTGGATGGCCATTTTCTCTTGCTCACAACAAAACAAAAAGGGTCCCGTGGGTCAGGAGAAAGGCAGCGCGGAGGAGAGGACAGAACACAACAAAACAGCCCACCGCACACCACATGAAGTGACTCCTGGCGCAGTGGGTCCTCTCCACCGCTTTATCACTCCATTCAGGGCAGGGACTGGTGGAGCAGCTGCCACTGTCACAAGGGGAACCAACCGGCCGTGGCCCTTCAACACAACGCAACTTCTTCCTCTTTTTGCTGATGGACTTTAGGAGGAGAGCTTATGGTACAGAGAGGCTTGCGCAGGGCAGAAACAGGCCTTGCCACGCCGGAGAGAGCTGAGCCTGCCTGCATCGTTAAAATGGTCCCAGTGAAAATTGAAGTGGGACGGGCTGAGCATCGTGAGGGGGAAGGATGCCTGGTGGACAGTTCAGAAGACCGAACCGTAAAAACTCCTTTGAAAGTACTGTAATAGCCAGAACACCGTCTCTTAATACCTTTTTGCTTTAAGCCTCTGGCTACCACGCAGTTCTTTGCCACAGCCACAGGCAGTTTTATGTTTAGATTTGTTGTTGTTTTTTTGGGGGTGGGGGGGGCGAGACAAAACAGGAAAGAGGAGAGAACAGGGAAATACTGAAAGGTGACTGAAATAATAATCTGCAAGATTAGGATCTCAGCTGTACCTTAAAACCACTTGGTACCTTCACCCGCCACGTGGGAGAGAAGGACACTCTCCCCCCCCCTTTGCACAGGAGGGGGGGGGACAGCGCAGGCAGGAGGGGAAGGCTCGAGAAAGGAGACGAGTGACTGGTGAGGAGGTGGATTGCCAGGGCTTTCCAATTGCAGCCAACAGGTCAAGGGTTCAAGATCAAAGCTGGTGACCTCTGTCTCCTCTCCCTGCAACAGTCTTGACTAGCTTGGCTTAAATCCTGGGCAACAGCTTCTCCACGAAGTCTTTCACGGCCATCATCTCCTGCACAGATCGAAGAGGAGGGGAAAAAAACACGCTGTTTTACTTCTTGAGGCCACACTAGAGAGAGGGACCCACCCAACCAGCACGGATGCCTCTCTTCCTGGCCCCCCCAAGTCTTAGCATACCCCAAATGTGATTGATTCAGAAACTTCCCGTTGGGGAGTTATGATGGGCTGCTATCTCCGAAGGAGCAGAGAGATCCGGCTGTGGAGAACACTGACCGGAAGGTGGATTCCGGCCAGTGTAATAATCTCCCTGAATCAAAGGGAGCTCGTGAGATAACCTTTTTGCATTCTGGAGGGTAGTTCCTCACAACTAAACTGCAGAAACTGAGATTTTCGCAGCTGGGTTGGGAGTTGGAGGTGCCCACAAACTCTATGAAACCACCGCAGAAATAAAAAAACCGGGTATTTTAGAACAGGGCTTTTCAACCAGTGGTACGGGTACCACCTGTGGTACATTGGCACCTGGCAGGTGGTACACGACCATCCTAGAAAAGTAGTGGGGGAGGGGAATGAGAGCGCTGCCAGGTGGGCAGGCAGGTGTCTTGCTCGGCTGTGCCTTGGCGGCACTTTTTTCAGTGCCATTGTAACTTTGAACAGTCACTAAGTGAACTGTTGTAAGTCGAGGACTACCTGTACTTTATCACTTTTTTCCTCTTTTTTTTTTGGTCATCAAGTTTTTGACACCTTGCTAGGTGGTACTCGAATATTGCCATATCCTAAAAGTGGTACGATGGGTGAAAAGGTTGAAAAGCCCTGTTTTAGAAAATTCCCTCCCCGTCAGTTGCTACACAGAAATGTTAAGCAAATCTTTGGTGATTCAAAGAAGCTCACAGCAATTGTAATATACCAAGGGTTTTACTACTACAGGTTAAGAATGCTTGCCTTGCAGAACTAGCAATGGCACTTAAGACATATACTGCTTCATAGTGCTTTACCGCCTTCTCTAAGCAGTTTATAGAGTCAGTATGTTGCCTCCAACAATCCGGGTCCTCATTTTACCGACCTTGAAAGGATAAAAGGCCGAGTCAACCTTGAGCTGCTCAGAATCGAACTGCTGGCGATCAGCAGAATTAGCCTGTGTAGCGGGGACTGCCTGAGAGTGCTTGCAGGAGCTTGACTGGGAAGGAAAAGATTGGGACAGCTGCAGTTGGCTTTGGGTGTGGCTGGCGTAAGTGGAAGGAGGAAGGATAGAAAAGGAAAGGAAAGGAAAGGAAAGGAGAAGGCCGGGGTTGGTTGGAGTTGAGAAGAGAAGGTCTGGAAGCTTATTTTATTTTTCTATCAAGGGTATTTTAAATAGAGGCTAGGGAGTGAAGTTTTATTGCTTCCTCCGTGGGAGGATATCTGAAACGGAGGCAAGCGAGAGTGTGGAGAAAGGGAGCTGGCTGGGGTTTCTAGCCTCGGGTTTTAATAATAAAGAGTAAAGGGAGGGGGGTGGTTTTGAATCCTGAGACCTGAGGAGGAATTCCAGAGAAGAAGTACCAGGAGGAGAGAGACTGGTGGTGCCAACTGTTGCTGCCAACTGTTGTTGTGGACTTTGGAGGCATCTGGACTGTGGCCATCGCTGCTGGCATAGGTGCTGGGACATTGTGGGGGGAGTTGCC